ATCATCCATCATCACTACATATAAAACCACCCATCATCACTACATATAACATCATCCATCATCACTACATATAACACCACCCATCATCACTACATATAACACCACCCATCATCACTACATATAACACCACCCATCATCACTACATATAACAACATCCATAATCACTACATATAACATCAGCCATCATCACTACATATAACACCCTCCATCATCACTACATATAACACCCTCCATCATCACTACATATAACAACATCCATAATCACTACATATAACACCACCCATCATCACTACATATAACATCAGCCATCATCACTACATATAACACCCTCCATCATCACTACATATAACAACATCCATAATCACTACATATAACACCACCCATCATCACTACATATAACACCATCCATCATCACTCCATATAACACCATCCATCATCACTACAGATCGGTAAAGTAGTTTCCAAGATTCTCGTGCGGACAAACAAACAAACAGACAAACAGACAGGCATACTTCTTTGTTTTATATAGATAAAGATATAGAAGATAGATCATCACTACATATAAAACCAGCCATCATCACTACATATAACACCATCCATCATCACTACATATAACACCATCCATCATCACTACATATAAAACCAGCCATCATCACTACATATAACACCCTCCATCATCACTACATATAACAACATCCATAATCACTACATATAACACCCTCCATCATCACTACATATAACAACATCCAACATCACTACATATAAAAACATCCATAATCACTACATATAACATCAGCCATCATCACTACATATAACACCCTCCATCATCACTACAGATAACACCACCCATCATCGCTACATATAACACCATCCATCATCACTACATATAACACCCTCCATCATCACTACAGATAACACCACCCATCATAACTACATATAACACCATCCATCACTAACATATAACACCATCCATCATCACACATATAACATCCATCATCATCATCCATCATCACTATATAACACCCATCATCATCAATCACACTACATATAACACCATCCATCATCACTACATATAACACCACATATCACTACATATAACCATCCATCATCACCATATAACATCATCCATCATCACATATAACACCCATCATCACTACATATAACACCATCCATCATCACTACATATACACCATCCATCATCACTACATATAACACCATCCATCATCACTACATATAACACCATCCATCATCACTACATATAACAACATCCATCATCACTACATATAACACCACCCATCATCACTACCACCCATCATCACTACATATAACACCATCCATCATCACTACATATAACACCATCCATCATCACTACATATAACACCATCCATCATCACTACATATAAAACCACCCATCATCACTACATATAACACCACCCATCATCACTACATATAACACCATCCATCATCACTACATATAACACCACCCATCATCACTACATATAACATCATCCATCATCACTACATATAAAACCACCCATCATCACTACATATAACATCATCCATCATCACTACATATAACACCACCCATCATCACTACATATAACACCACCCATCATCACTACATATAACACCACCCATCATCACTACATATAACAACATCCATAATCACTACATATAACATCAGCCATCATCACTACATATAACACCCTCCATCATCACTACATATAACACCCTCCATCATCACTACATATAACAACATCCATAATCACTACATATAACACCACCCATCATCACTACATATAACATCAGCCATCATCACTACATATAACACCCTCCATCATCACTACATATAACAACATCCATAATCACTACATATAACACCACCCATCATCACTACATATAACATCAGCCATCATCACTACATATAACACCCTCCATCATCACTACATATAACAACATCCATAATCACTACATATAACACCACCCATCATCACTACATATAACACCATCCATCATCACTCCATATAACACCATCCATCATCACTACAGATCGGTAAAGTAGTTTCCAAGATTCTCGTGCGGACAAACAAACAAACAGACAAACAGACAGAGCTAAGATGTCCCCACACACAACGCTTCCGTGACGCCTGCTGGACCACCACTCCACGACCCCCTGAGGGAGACACGATGATCCTCCCCATACTGCCCAGATATTATGTAAATAACATTGATTATGTGTTAAAGGAATAACCTACCTTCCTTAGGCTTTAGTAAGCCCCTTTATAATATTTATACTGTATATACTTGTCACACTTACCAGATGCTTCTGGAGTCATTATACAGGGGTACCTAGTGACAGCACTAGGATCCCGCTTCCTCTATCAAGGAATAAACAATTGAAATTGAAATTGAATTGAACAGACAGACTTCTATATTATATATAATATACATATATATATATATATATATATATATATATATATATATATATATATATATATATATATATATATATATATATATATATATATATATATATATTTTTACGAACCACGCCATTTATTGTCCTGATCTACCTACCCAGCACTACGAACCACGCCATTTATTGTCCTGATCTACCTACCCAGCACCACGAGCAACGCCATCTAGGGACGATACCCGATTATGACTACTCTTAGTTACCACTCCGGGGTTTCCCTTCTCCATATCCTGGTTGTTGGGTCACCTCCTCCAAGTTTTCCTCATCAGCTCCAGTTCGATGAGAGTTCAGTTCACTCTGGGAAGTGACCACAGGATCACCTATCCTGGAAACCTACGGCACAGTGACTACCTACCGTCTTCTACAATACTCAGCCTTACTCGTCAGCCATCTCAGCACTGCACTTAAGTATCTGTTATCTTATATTGCCTCCCACCTCCACCTTGCTTCAAAATTGTTGTATGTTGTATAAATATGTATATACTGTTAATGTTTAGGTTAAGTATGGTTAAGGGTAAATTATAGAAAGCTGAATATTTTGTTAAGGAATTTATGGTACTTAATTATACACAACAAAAACTCTCATCCTTTGTCTACCCTTTTATAGTCCGATTGTCTTTGCTTTTTATTGTTGTTGCCTGTTGGGATCTGGGTAGACTTTTAACTATATTCTAAATCCCCAACTCGTAACAATATATATATATATATATTTCATTAGCCCAATAAACACGCTGACTTCTACATACAATCAACACCTCAACCCGCCAGGATTCGAACCCACGGCCCACGAGCCCATGACTATGACCGGGGAACGTTACCTCTGGACCACCAGGATACTAAAAGCAGTCCTAGACTCGGTTATATTTCACACACAAAGCCTGTTCAACGAGCTTATATACACAGAATACATACATGCATACATACATACATACATACATACATACATACATACATACATACATACATACATACATACATACATACATACATCCTTGACCACCGAAGGGTCAAGACGTACCTGGCGCTCCTCTCTGAGCAGCCAGGTCAACTGTTAAGTTGGCCCATACCAACCCCCTCCCCTGAACCACTTCTCCCCACCGGAATATCAACAAGTTCTCGCCAGAAGTTACAATTTCATTTAGGAAAGGAATGGAACCAGTGTTAAACAGAGGTGAACATTGGTGAACAGTGCTTAAGTCAGTGAGAACAACTCAACAGTAACAGTCGTACTCAAGTTAACCTTCACACAGTGAGGTCCCAGGTACCCAGTGATAACGGCCCGTGAGACCCAACAACCAGCGATGTGTTAATCCGTCTACGATAGGAAGGCCTGGGGCCACACCTCACTCATATAACACCATCTGTGAGGGAATTACTACACCACGTCAAGTCCCTCATAACACCATCTGTGAGGGAATTACTACACCACGTGATGCCCCTCATAACACCATCTGTGAAGGAGTTACTACACCACGTCAAGTCCCTCATAACACCATCTGTGAGGGAATTACTACACCACGTGAGGTCCCTCATAACACCATCTGTGAGGAAATTACTACACCACGTGATACCCCTCATAACACCATCTGTGAGGGAATTACTACACCACGTCAGGCCCCTCATAACACCATCTGTGAGGGAATTACCACACCACGTCAGGTCCCTCATAACACCATCTGTGAGGGAATTCGTACACCACGTGATGCCCCTCATAACACCATCTGTGAGGGAGTTACTACACCACGTGAGGCCCCTCGTAACACCATTTATGAGGGAATTACTACACCACGTGAGGCCCCTCGTAACACCATCTGTGAGGGAATTACTACACGTGAGGCCCCTCATAACACCATCTGTGAGGGAAATACTACACCACATCAGGTCCCTCATAACACCATCTGAGGGAACTGCTACACCACATAGGTCCCTCCTAACACCATCTGGGAGAGAGTTACTACACTACGTGTTTCCTGTTCAACACCTACATTAATCTGAATGTTCACTGTATGTTCCTTTACCTATCTCTAATGAAGGCTTTTGTTAAACCACCAATGTATGTAATAAGTCATTTACGTCCAATGTATATTTTCAGCCTTCGGGCTGCAGAACTTTTTCAATAAACCGTTAATTATTATTATTATTATTATTATTACATACACATTATATAACCATACACAGTTCACATACAGTATAAATACATACAGCCACCTCTGGTTGCCACCAGGTAAATAATTATCTCAGTGAACGAAACATTCTGTTCTGCGGATAAATTTCTAAAATATGTCACCAGTTGTTCGGTTCTTCATCATCAACGCACTGCTTATTATTAACTACCTAGAAAAAAATTATTATCCATTTGAATTTCACCTTAAGATTAACCGCTATAACCTTACCTAACCAAACCTAACCTAACCTATCCTCCCAGCTTGCGTTACTGGATAAACCATCAGATGAAATAAGTAGTTATCTTCAGCGTATAGAAAGAAAAACAAACTCCTGCTCTATAGTTATTTCAACTCACTTCTGTGAAGAGGAGTAAGTGATGGTGTGCGAGATGACGGTGTAACAGCGAGGTAAGACTGACTGCCTGTGTGTGTCAGGAAGGGGTGCCGAACAGGGGTGGACTGCCACGGTGTTGGTGGGTGAATGGTGCGCCTCACTCTGTCTCTCTCAGCCTTGACACAAGCACGAGAAACTAGATTTTATATTAAGATTCATTACATCCATCTTTAAACTTATCTAGAGATAATTATTAGTCATACTACTTATAGTCGATGGTGATGTTACGTTAACTTTTCCTTGTGTTGAGTTCTCGATTATTATAACTGGTTAATTTCAGACATCGGTGAAGCAAAACTAAAAAGTAGAATAACTTAATATAATTAATATATACTATTTACAATACATACAAGAAACAATGACAATAAACGTATTGACAACTGTGTTCAAAATGGGCGGGACTTACGGAGAAGGAGCCTTGATGTACAACGTTGAGAGGGAAAAACGCCTTTCTTCCTAGGGATAACCAACCAGTTATCCACATGTTTTGCGGGCGTGAAGTATAATATGAATCATCAGATTTACAAACAGACCAGCCGTCATTGTGACCATGACAGTGATACTGTATATTGTGATACTGTATATTCCTGGGAGATAAGACTCACAGGTGAATTTGTAACGGAGAGAACAGAAAAATTTTCATAGCACCTCAAGAATCAACTCGCCTAACTTATTTCACCTGGATATTGACTAACCTAACCTAAAGTTAAAATACTCTGATTTAACATGACAAAGTAACATAACGGAACCTAACCTAACGTTAACATAATCTATACCAATTGTAGCGTAACATAACGTAAAGTAACCAAGCCTAATCTAACTTAACCTACACCCCCAGGTAGGATCAATCCCGCTAGGCAAAGTTGAGTAATACTAAGGACGTGTTATCGCAACCTGCCCGCTGTATTATGTGGACCTAAACCACTGCTTATATACTTTAGTCAACACCTGAGACGATGTGTGCCGTTGTAAAGGGAAACAAAACATTATTGATATAAGTTTGTTGTACGCTCGATCACAATATCACATCAGAATCTGTGGCGTTATTGTAATTATGAATAGGATGGGTATAATATATTGAGATAGATTCCATGTGTTATTTATAAACTCACCTCCAAGCCAACCTAATACTTCTTATATGTTACCTTATCAAAAATACAAAGTTCGGTATGCTTATGAATGACTTGTGATACTTCTGAACTATAGTTGTGTGTCGGCTCCAACAACACCTGTCGTAAGTTAAGATTGAAATTTCAAGAAGTGTGACTGAGGCCTCGACCCATCCATCGAGCCATCAACCATCCAAATATAACCACCGATGAGAAAATAGCAGCCTTACATAATATTAATTGGCCCATTAACTTAATAAAGCTTTTTTACTGACAATTTTACGTACAGGTATAGAAACAATGACTAGAGACAGTACAGGTATACAAACAATGACTAGAGACAGTACAGGTATACAAACAATGACTAGAGACAGTACAGGTACACAAACAATGACTAGAGACAGTACAGGTATAGAAACAATGACTAGAGACAGTACAGGTATACTAACAATGACTAGAGACAGTACAGGTATACAAACAATGACTAGAGACAGTACAGGTATACAAACAATGACTAGAGACAGTACAGGTACACAAACAATGACTAGAGACAGTACAGGTATACAAACAATGACTAGAGGCTAACAATGACTACAGGTATACTAACAATGACTAGAGACAGTACAGGTATAGAAACAATGACTAGAGACAGTACAGGTATACAAACAATGACTAGAGACAGTACAGGTATACAAACAATGACTAGAGACAGTACAGGTATAGAAACAATGACTAGAGACAGTACAGGTATACAAACAATGACTAGAGACAGTACAGGTATACAAACAATGACTAGAGACAGTACAGGTATACAAACAATGACTAGAGACAGTACAGGTATAGAAACAATGACTAGAGACAGTACAGGTATACAAACAATGACTAGAGACAGTACAGGTATACAAACAATGACTAGAGACAGTACAGGTATACAAACAATGACTAGAGACAGTACAGGTATACAAACAATGACTAGAGACAGTACAGGTATACAAACAATGACTAGAGACAGTACAGGTATACTAACAATGACTAGAGACAGTACAGGTATACAAACAATGACTAGAGACAGTACAGGTATACAAACAATGACTAGAGACAGTACAGGTATACAAACAATGACTAGAGACAGTACAGGTATACTAACAATGACTAGAGACAGTACAGGTATACAAACAATGACTAGAGACAGTACAGGTATACAAACAATGACTAGAGACAGTACAGGTATAAACAATGACTAGAGACAGTACAGGTATACAAACAATGACTAGAGACAGTACAGGTATACAAACAATGACTAGAGACAGGTAGTACAGGTATAAACAATGACTAGAGACAGTACAGGTATACAAACAATGACTAGACACAGTACAGGTATACAAACAATGACTAGAGACAGTACAGTATACTAACAATGACTAGAGTACACTAACAATGACTAGAGACAGTACAGGTATACAAACAATGACTAGAGACAGTACAGGTATACTAACAATGACTAGAGACAGTACAGGTATACTAACAATGACTAGAGACAGTACAGGTATACAAACAATGACTAGAGACAGTACAGGTATACTAACAATGACTAGAGACAGTACAGGTATACAAACAATGACTACAGACAGTACAGGTATACAAACAATGACTAGAGACAGTACAGGTATACAAACAATGACTACAGACAGTACAGGTATACTAACAATGACTAGAGACAGTACAGGTATACAAACAATGACTACAGACAGTACAGGTATACAAACAATGACTACAGACAGTACAGGTATACTAACAATGACTAGAGACAGTACAGGTATACAAACAATGACTAGAGACAGTACAGGTATACAAACAATGACTAGAGACAGTATAGGTATACTAACAATGACTAGAGACAGTACAGGTATACTAACAATGACTAGAGACAGTACAGGTATACAAACAATGACTACAGACAGTACAGGTATACTAACAATGACTAGAGACAGTACAGGTATACTAACAATGACTAGAGACAGTACAGGTATACAAACAATGACTAGAGACAGTACAGGTATACTAACAATGACTAGAGACAGTACAGGTATACTAACAATGACTAGAGACAGTACAGGTATACTAACAATGACTAGAGACAGTACAGGTATACAAACAATGACTAGAGACAGTACAGGTATACTAACAATGACTAGAGACAGTACAGGTATACAAACAATGACTAGAACAATACAGGTATACTAACAATGACTAGAGACAGTACAGGTATACAAACAATGACTAGAGACAGTACAGGTATACTAACAATGACTAGAGACAGTACAGGTATACTAACAATGACTAGAGACAGTACAGGTATACTAACAATGACTAGAGACAGTACAGGTATACAAACAATGACTAGAGACAGTACAGGTATACTAACAATGACTAGAGACAGTACAGGTATACAGTGTACAGTTGAGAAAGCTTCCACCTTTAACACCGTGATTAAATATATAAAAGAAACATTTCACTCTACTTAACACTACCCGCGATGACACGATCACTACAATAACACAAATTCATTGGTTAGTGATTCAGAAAAGAACTCTTCTCTTGCTGTAGCTTCATCGGCTTTGCTGTATTGAATGTGAAGTCACAATAAGTTTTACACGTTTCTGCTAAGAAAACTGTTCTGGAGATGCCCCAGCTAGTGGTATTTTATCCTTATCTAAACCTTAAAGGGATCCACATCATTGTGTACAGGAGGACATTTACGTAACTTATACATATTGTAACTGGTGTTGATTTCACCTGCTGTAAAGAGCCCATTTATATAACTTATACATAGCGTGTGACATGAGTAGACTATCGCCATGGTGTGACACAGTAAACTTTCGTGATAGTGTGACATAAAAAAAAACTTTCGTGATGGTGTGACACATTAAACTTCCGTGACGGTGTGACACAACTTTCGCCATGTGTGACACAGTAAACCTTGACCACGGTGTGACACAGTAAACTTTGACCATGGTGTAGGGCGTGTAATAATTATAAGAACATAAGAACATAAGAATGGAGGAAACTGCAGCGGGCCTATTGGCCCATACTGGGCAGTCTCGTTTAGACCCAATCCCTATTGCTCATATAAGCATCCAACCTATGTTTGAAGCTATTCAGCGTATTCGAGTTAATGATGATATTTGGTAACTTGTTCCATTCATCCACTACTCTGTTTCCAAACCAGTGTTTACCTATTTCACGCCTAAATCTATATTTATCTAATTTAAAACCATTGTTACGAGTTCGCTCCTGGTTGGATAGTTTGAGTATCTTTGTAATGTCCCCTTTGTTTAGCCCTGCCTTCCACTTATACACCTCTATCAGGTCGCCCCTCGCTCTACGTCTCTCGAGGGAGTGCAAATTAAGATGCTTTAACCTGTCTCTATATTCATTAGGTTCCTAATGCCCGGGATTAGTCTTGTCATTCTCCTCTGAATTCTTTCCAAGGATTCTATATCCATTCTGTAATACGGTGACCAGAACTGAACTGCGTAGTCCAGGTGTGGTCTCACAAGAGCAAGATACAGTTTTAGGATGACCTGGCTAGTCTTGTAACTAACACTCCTTTGTATGAACCCAAGTACTTTATTAGCCTTGTTACGAGCAAAAACACATTGTTTACTTGGTTTAAGGTTCCTACTTATCATTACTCCTAAATCTCTCTCGCAGTCGGATTTCTCTATGGCATCGTTGTTCATCTGGTATCTGGTTTCCCTGTTTACATCCCCTATACTGAGTACTTTACATTTGTCGACGTTGAATTTCATCTGCCATTTTTCAGACCATTCGAAAAATTTGTTTAGATCTTCCTGTAGTTTTGCCGAGTCCTCGTCAGATTTAATAACGTCCTATTTTAGTGTCATCAGCAAATTTACTTATGTTGCTGTCTATGCCGATATCTATGTCGTTTCCGTATATAATAAATAATAATGGTCCAAGTACTGAGCCTTGGGGAACTCCACTTGTGACGTTGCTCCAATGGGACTTAGTGCCGTTAATGCTCACTCGCTGTTTCCTGTCCTGTAACCACGCCCTAATCCATTTAAGGATGTCACCTTTGATGCCATGTGCTTCTACCTTTCTAATTAGTCTTTCGTGGGGGACTCTGTCGAAGGCTTTGCTAAAGTCAAGATATACCACATCATAATTGTGCCCCTCGTCCACCGATTCGAAAACTGATGAAAAGAATGTTAATAGATTAGTTAGGCAAGAACGTCCGCTTGTGAAGCCATGCTGGGAATCATTGATCAATCGGTGCTTCTCCAGGTGATTTCGAATAGAGTTTGAGATGATTGCTTCCAGTAATTTGCCAACAATTGATGTTAGACTGATTGGGCGATAATTAGATGATATTGATCTATCCCCCTTCTTGAAAATCGGTATTACATTCGCTATCCTCCAGGATTCTGGTACTACACCTGTTTTTAAGGACATGTTAAACAACTTTGCTAAGGGCATACTAAGCTCTTCCTTACATTCCTTTAATACTCTGGCAAATATCTCATCGGGACCAGGTGACTTATTAGGCTTTAGTTTGTCTATTTGCTTACTAACATCGTTACTAGTCACTACTATCTCACTAAATTTGTTTTCTTCACTATCTCTGAATAGAGTCGGTGCCTCGGATATCATGTTTAAATTTTCGGTGGTGAAAACTGTTGAAAAATATTTATTCAAATTATTGCTCATTTCTCTGTCGTTATCAGTGAGCTCGCCGGTGTCTGACCGTATTGGTCCAATCTTTTCTCGTGTTTTAGTTTGATATATTTGGTAGAATCCTTTGGGGTTTGTCTTCGCCTCCCTTGCTATCCTTACCTCATTATTCCTCTTTGCTTTCCTTATCTCGGTTTTAACCCTACTCGCCAATACCCTATAATAGTCCCGGAGGTGAATTTCGCCACGATTTATCCTTCTACCTATAGCCTTCCTTTGGCCAATGATGTTCTTTAAATAATTATTTATCCATTTAGGGTCATTGTTGTCTGATCTGAGTTTTTTGTATGGTATGTTCTGCCTTTGTGCATTAAGTAACTCACTATTTAAATTGTCGTGGAACTCGGCAATCTCAGATCTCGTTATCAGGTCGGTGTCATCTGTGTTAGATACTGCATCATGATGAGAAGAATAACAATGTGTCATCATGCACAGTACAGCAGCGATCTGGTTGAACAAGGAAACATAATCACTGTAAACAATAAACTGGCTCCACGAGTTGTGTATATCTCTCATGTATCATAAACAAACAAAGAGTTGGTGAGGGGAGTAAGAAGTGTTCATTTGTGATAACAGTCTGTGTCCGGTGGTCGCTTAGGGCGGTCACACTGCCTCACTCTCCCGACTCAACCTCACGCTAACATGGATAACAAGATGGCAGTGGAAAGGTAGGGGTTAAAAGGGACCAGATTGTGTCCATAGTGATTCTTTACCATGTCTTTGTTGTTTGGTGAAAAGCATTACTGTTTATGATCATCACTGGGCCGTTTTTTTTATTTATTTTTTTAAATTTCTATCAATTATAACCTAATAGGATATGCGAGTGGTCAACATAACATTATTATAGATTAGAGGTAATTTGAAATCTGATATCTATTTACTCTCACATTTTGTAGTATCGAGTGCTGTTTTTTCATGCTGTTTAGTCTTACGTAACACAATACAAAGCAACGATCACTACCATCAGTTATGCACCAATAGTTACAGACAGATATTTCCAGTGAGGTGTGTACAAGTGAGTCAGTCAGTGTGGTGTGTACAAGTGAGTCAGTCAGTGTGGTGTGTACAAATGAGTCAGTCAGTGTGGTGTGTACAAGTGAGTCAGTCAGTGTAGTGTGTACAAGTGAGTCAGTCAGTGTGGTGTGTACAAGTGAGTCAGTCAGTGTGGTGTGTACAAATGAGTCAGTCAGTGTGGTGTGTACAAGTGAGTCAGTCAGTGTGGTGTGTACAAGTGGGTCAGTCAGTGTGGTGTGTACAAGTGGAGTCAGTCAGTGTGGTGTGTACAAGTGAGTCAGTCAGTGTGTGTGGTGTGTACAAGTGAGTCAGTCGGTGTGGTGTGTACAAGTGGGTCAGTCATTGTGGTGTGTACAAGTGAATCAGTCAGTGTGGTGTACAAGTGAGTCAGTCAGTGTGGTGTGTGTACAAGTGAGTCCAGTCAGTGTAGTGTGTACAGTGAGTCAGTGTAGTGTGTACAAGTGGGTCCAGTCAGTGTAGTGTGTGCAAGTGAGTCAGTCAGTGTGGTGTGTACAAGTGAGTCAGTCAGTGTGGGTGTGTACAAAGTGGAGTCCAGTCAGTGTGGTGTGTACAGGAGTCAGTCAGTGTGGTGTGTACAAGTCAGTGTAGTGTGTAGTGGTCAGTCAGTGTAGTGTGTACAAGTGAGTCAGTCAGTGTGGTGTGTACAAGTGAGTCAGCCAGTGTACAAGTGAGTCAGCCAGTGTAGTGTGTACAAGTGAGTCAGTCAGTGTAGTGTGTACAAGTGAGTCAGTCAGTGTGGTGTGTACAAGTGAGTCAGCCAGTGTAGTGTGTACAAGTGAGTCAGTCAGTGTGGTGTGTACAAGTGAGTCAGCCAGTGTGGTGTGTACAAGTGAGTCAGTCAGTGTGGTGTGTACAAGTGAGTCAGTCAGTGTGGTGTGTACAAGTGAGTCAGCCAGTGTGGTGTGTACAAGTGAGTCAGTCAGTGTGGTGTGTACAAGTGTGTCAGTCAGTGTGGTGTGCACTCATATTCAGTTACGGACAGCAGTAACATTCTACCTTGGCACCCCACATTACCCAGGCTTACCACGTTTCAAGGTTACTGAGAGACGCTCCACTCAACAGTTGTTGTTAGGGGCGGCTGTGTGTCAGTGGAGAGAGAGAGAGTAACTAAGGTAAAACTAAGGTACACGTCATTCATCTCTCTCTCTCTCTCTCTCTCTCTCTCTCTCTCTCTCTCTCTTGGATGAAAGCAACAAGTAAGCAACACACCTTTATAACACTGTAGCACACCTTTATAAACACAGTAGCACACCTTTATAACACAGTAACACATCTTTATAACACAGTAGCACACCTTTACAACACTGTAGCACACCTTTATAAACACAGTAGCACACCTTTATAACACAGTAACACATCTTTATAACACTGTAGCACACCTTTATAAACACAGTAGCACACCTTTATAACACAGTAACACATCTTTATAACACAGTAGCACACCTTTACAACACTGTAGCACACCTTTATAAACACTGTAGCACACCTCTATAACACAGTAACACATCTTTATAACACAGTAGCACACCTTTATAACATATTAGCACACCTTTATAACATTAGCACAGCTTTATAACACAGTAGCACACCTTTATAACACAGTAACACATCTTTATAACACAGTAGCACACCTTTATAACACTGTAGCACACCTTTATAACACAGTAGCACACCTTTATAACACAGTAACACACCTTTATAACACAGTAACACATCTTTATAACACTGTAGCACACCTTTATAACACAGTAACACACCTTTATAACACAGTAACACATCTTTATAACACAGTAGCACACCTTTATAACACAGTAACACACCTTTATAACACTGTAGCACACCTTCATAACACAGTAACACACCTTTATATCACTGTAGCACACCTTTATAACACAGTAACACACCTTTATAACACAGTAACACATCTTTATAACACAGTAGCACACCTTTATAACACTGTAGCACACCTTTATAAACACTGTAGCACACCTCTATAACACAGTAACACATCTTTATAACACAGTAGCACACCTTTATAACACTGTAGCACACCTTTATAACACAGTAGCACACCTTTATAACACAGTAACACACCTTTATAACACAGTAACACATCTTTATAACACTGTAGCACACCTTTATAACACAGTAACACACCTTTATAACACAGTAACACATCTTTATAACACAGTAGCACACCTTTATAACACAGTAACACACCTTTATAACACTGTAGCACACCTTCATAACACAGTAACACACCTTTATATCACTGTAGCACACCTTTATAACACAGTAACACACCTTTATAACACAGTAACACATCTTTATAACACAGTAGCACACCTTTATAACACTGTAGCACACCTTTATAAACACTGTAGCACACCTCTATAACACAGTAACACACCTTTATAACACAGTAACACATCTTTATAACACTGTAGCACACCTTTATAACACAGTAACACACCTTTATAACACTGTAGCACACCTTTATAACACAGTAACACACCTTTATAACACTGTAGCACACCTTTATAACACAGTAACACACCTTTATAACACAGTAACACATCTTTATAACACAGCAACACACCTTTATAACACAGTAACACACCTTTATAACACAGTAACACACCTTTATAACACAGTAACACACCTTTATAAACACAGTAACACACCTTTATAACACAGTAACACACCTTTATAAACACAGTAACACACCTTTATAACACAGTAACACACCTTTATAACACAGTAACACACCTTTATAACACAGTAACACACCTTTATAACACACCTTTATAACACAGTAACACACCTTTATAACACTGTAGCACACCTTTATAACACTGTAGCACACCTTTATAACACTGTAGCACACCTTTAAACAGTCCTCCACTCTAAACGATCTCGGGCTGTTTTTACCAATCCTCTAAGTTCTTGTATCTCTCTGGGGCCCAGTTTATAATGTCATTCATCCATCTCAGTCTCTGCCTTCCCTGGCCTCCTACCCTCAACTTGCCCATTAATATTTCTGTTATCATTCCCTTCATCCCTAATTATATGACCAAAGAGTCTCACTTTTATTTCTCTCTACATTTCAAATATTTCTCATTGAATTTTTTACTACGCATAGTATTGCTTTATTTGTTTTCCTGTACGTGTAGCTTATTCTAAGGCCGCCAACTTCTTTCTAGTGTCTGCTGATCCTTACATCGGTCCTTGCCATATATAGTCTTTTTCTCAAATTGAAGTTAATTTCCTTTTTCATTTGGTCTCTTAGATTATTAATTGATGTTTCTGCTTGCACTATTTTTTTTTATTTCCTCCGTACATCTACCATCACACAGATATTGTTACTCCCCAGATACACAAAATTTTCTGCTGGGTGTTGTCGTGTTATCTTTTAGTCAGGTGTAAAGCCGACCCAGTGGTGAAGATGGATCGGGGACAGGGACTTGGGGAATGAGTCGGGGCAGCTACCGTAGCAGAAGCAGGCGACTGATAGGTTGTTCAAGGGTGTGTGCGTGTATGTGTGTGTGTGTGTGCGCGTGTGTGTGTGTGTGTGTGTGTGTGTGTGTGTGTGCGCGTGTGTGTGTGTGTGTGTGTGTGTGTGTGTGTGTTATCCCCATGAAAAACTAACCTAACCTAACCTAACTAAATTAACCTAACTTAACCATTAATTGTACACTATATTCGCAGGGTGACAATGAAGACGGTATCTGATCCTCGTACAGAAGATCTCTCTCTCTACAGCTCTGAATACCTGGAGGTGAACCCAGGACGTGTCTTCCTGCCCTCCTTCTATGCCGACTGGCATGACCGCTACACAAATTTCACTGTCCACCACGAAGATGTTTGGGTGGTCACGTTCCCAAAATCGGGTGAGAATGTGTGTGTGTGTGTGTGTGTGTGTGAATGTGTGTGTGTGTGTGTGTGTGTGTGTGTGTGTGTGTGTGTGTGCACACAAGGTGTTGTAATGCATCTAGTGTGGCAACATTATGTTAGTGTTAAGGTGCAAGCACTGCTTCCTTCCTCTCGCTTTCAGCTGCCGCCGCTGGCTAGCCCTCTTGGCGAACAGGGAAGCGACTTGCATAAGTCTTCCCCTGCCAGTATACAGCCTCTTCACCATCAAGACTCCTGCTGTACCTCCTCGTGGCAACACAGGGTAACTGGGTGCCTCGTGGGCCCAGACTAGACCAGCAGAGGATCTCAGAGTAACAGTGGGCTCCAGAGGAATGGTGCATAGGTCCACTGGCATGTAAACACATTCAGGAGCCTACCAACCACTGCTCCACTGCTATGCAGATTAACCTAAATAGATATAAGGCAACGGGGGTAAACCCCGAAGAAAAAATCTGTGGTGGAGCCCCGCATCAGGCAGACATGCTTACAGAGCTCCAACAAGACCCCAACGGCAGTATAGGTGGAAGAGATGACCACCATAGGAACCCAACGACTACACCGGTAGACGAAGGCAATGCCTGATGGACAGGTGACTAAGGCGAAACCCAACAAACTAGGCTATCGGCAGTCTATTGCAACTCTCCCTCTCCCCAGTGGTGCAAGTTTTGCACCACCGGATCAGGAAAAGGGAGAGCCAATATGTGTTGTTGCAGCCTGTGCTCCTGCATTACCACATAATCAACTCACGTGTAGGACACCATCCAGCTCATCATACTCCTCATCATCATCAAAACCCCTATACCCCCTAAAGTCCTATGGCGACAGGCGAGCGGCGACAGGGACAGGCACAGATGACTCCGGGCGTCTCTAGTAACAATTCTGTACACGGGCGGCGCAAAAAGAAGATGGTCGTTTACACATTGGGATCGAGGCTGCACCGAAATACTGTCCTGTCTGTGCAACTGAGCAGCCCTATCGAGGAGCCACTTTGCTCACTCCACATTAGGAGGGGGCTAGAAAAGGTGCCCTAAACATAGCTTGCTTAATGAACTAACCTGAATGAGCAACTGTAAAACACAATTGTAATCGCTGCATGGAATGACAGGACCCTTCTGGATACTGGCATAAATGAGCATCCTGAAAGAAGAACTGCCCTTCTGGTAAAAGAGCTGATAATGTATAACATCGACATAGCAGCCATTAGTGAGTCCCGACTCCCAGACGAGGGTCGACTCATAGAATGGAGGTCTGGCTATACCGTCTTCTGGAAAGGTAAACCTGCTGCAGAGAGAAACCGCATTAATGGAGTTGGCTTTGCCATCCGCCAACGCATCCTACACAGGCTAACTGAAGTGCCTGTTGGGATCAAAAAGTGCCTCATGATGCTCTGAGTCCCACTGAATCACTCACGTCATGCCTTTGTCATGAGTGCATACGCCCCAACACTGGATGCAGAGGATGATATCAAGGAGGCTTTTTATGTCAACCTCGACAGATTGCTAGCCTCTACCCACAGAGAAGATGAGGTTGTGTTGCTTGGTGACTTCATTGCCAGAGTTGGCAAAGATACTGACATTTGGCAGGCAACCATAGGGAAAATGGGCTAGGCAAGTGCAATCCCAACGACCTACTCCTCCTTAGCAAGTGTGCAGCATGCCACCTCACAATCACCAACACCTTGTTTAGGTAGGCCGAAAAGCTCAAGGGTTTGTGTCAACACCTACAATCCAAACACTGGCATCTCATTGACTACATCTTTGTCAGCGAAAGAGGTCACCGAGAAATCCTTATCACCTGAGCCATGCGTGGCTCAGACCACTGGACACTGATGATCGGCTCTTCAGAGCCAAGCTGTCTCTTCAAGTCGCCCCAAAACAGCGAAGGCAGCAAACCTCAAGAAGAGGTTTTAAACTAAGTTTCTGGAGGATCCAGCGGTAACACATGCTTTCAGAGAGTAGATCGAATATGGGCTGATAAACAACCCGACAACAAACAACCCAAATCCCAGTGCTGAATTGGTTATTCTCGACACTCTTATGACAAAAACCTGCAGAGAGACACTGGCCCACATCAAAAGAATACACCAGGACTGGTTTCATGAAAATTACCAGGAAATCAATGTACACTTCAATGCTAAGCATGCTGCTTTAACTGACTGGTAAAACAACCCTCAGTCTCGGACCAAAGCTGATACTTTCCACAAGATGAAAGAGGCGGCCCAGCGCAAGCTCTGCAATCACCACAAGATTCACCAATTTTCCAATTCCACTAAAACATTTATGGGCCAATCCTCATGGCACAGCCCCCCTCCGCTCATCCGACGGTAACTCCCTAAGTAAAGACAAAGACGGTACCCTAGTCGACCACAATATAATCATCAACAAAGCTATTGCCTTCGGGCTTCGGAGAAGTCTTATACCATGGCTTACAGACTTCCTCAGTGACCGGCGGCAAGCTGTACGCTTCCGAGGGGCTGTCTCCACCTTTCAGTCACTCACCTGTGGCGTCCCCCAAGGCACCAAGATGGGACCACTCTGCTTCCTTATGCTCATCAATGATGCCCTAAGAGAAACCCCTGCTCGCTGGAAATATGTTGACGACTCCACCATTGGGATCAGCGTCAACAATTCTGCTCCCAACTATACCGCCCTTCAGGATTTATTGAACAGTCTCCAAAACTGGGCCACCAACAACCATGTCACCATCAACCATACCAAGACCATGGTTATGCACATCAACCTCTCCTCCGACATTGTCCCACCTCCTTCCATTACTTTAGGTCCGAACACACTCCAGGTTGTAGATTCCACGAAGCTCCTCGGCGTCACCATAGACAACAAACTAAATTGGAAACCACACGTCAGTGAAGTTGTCAAATCCTCCAGTTTCCGTCTCCACCTCCTCCGCCGACTCAAGTCCCTCGGAGTTCCTGCACCCGAGCTCCTCAGTGTTTACACAACATTCATACTTCCCAAGCTCACCTATGCCTCCCCACCTGGTCTTCCTCCCTAAATGCCACACAACGTAAACACCTAGAAAAAGTGCAAAAGAGGGCATGCAAGATTATTCTCTCCCCTTCCTACTCCACATATCAAGAAGCGCTCAACACACTGACCCTTTCGACTCTCACTGACCATCACCACGACCTCATATGCAAATTTGGTAAGAAGCTTCTACACCATCCTCAACACCGGCTCCTACTACCACCTGAGATCCCTAGCCCGAGAATTGCTGTTCGACACCACAACCGCATCCAGCCCATACATGCACGAACTGATCGCTATAAGAACACCCCGGTCCCAACCATTGTAAAAATTATCAATAACTTGTAATAAACCAGTGTATTCACTCCCAGTAAACACTACTTCTTGCACTGTCACTATGTTCAAATGCACTGTAGTTTGAGCTTTTCCCCATCTAGTTATTATATATCTTATTTGTATCACTTATGTTATTTGTATATTATTTATAATACGAAACTCATTCCCCAAATATGTAACTGTATATTTTCAGCCTTCTGGCTGCCAAGCCCTTTCAATAAACCGTTAATTATTATTATTATTATTATTATTATTATTATTATTATTATTACCATTCACTACTCAACCGAAACACTGATGTGGATGTCCTGACTACCCAGCAAATCCCTCAGCATCTAGAGCTGTCGCACCTCAGCTATCCTCTATCCCTGGATGAGGTAGCTAATGCCATCAAGTACCTGTTAATGAAAAATACAAGGCCTCAGGACCTTATGGATTCCCAGCCGAGGTGTATAAAGCAAGAGGGCCTCTGCTTACGAGCCATCTCCACTCTCGCCTGAATAATATATGAGAAAAGGAGGAAATCCCTCAGCTCTAAAAGACGCCTCCATCATCAATATTTATAAGAACAAGGGAGACCACTCAAACTGTGGCAACTACCACGGGATCCCGCTGCTGTCCGTAGCTGGCAAGATTATCGCCTGAGTCCTCCGAAACAGACTTCTTCCTGAGGTGGAAAACTTCCTCCCAGAATCTCAATGTGGCTTTAGACCATCACATGGCACCACTGACATGATCCTTGCTACCCTTCAGATACAGAAGTGCAGAGAACAGCGTCGTGACCTGTACATGGCCTTCATCGTCCTAACAAAGGCCTTCGACTCAGTCAACAGGGAAGCCCTCTGGCGGACCCTCAGCAGTTTTAGCTGCCCTCCAAAATTCCTCGCCATTGTGAGGCAACTCCACGATGGCATGAATGGCAGTGTCCTGCACAATGGCACCCAGTCTGAGTTCTTCCCCATACAAAGAGGGGTAAAACAAGGATGTGTACTGACACCAACCCTCTTTTCCAATTTCTTGGCTGCCTTCCTTATTCGTTCCAGTGCTAATTTAGCCGGTTGGCTGGACATCAAGTACCGGATGAAAACGACTCCAGACAGGAACAAGGGTGACGGCAGCTTCCATTACTGAATTTCTGTATGCAGACGACCTCACCCCTGTCGCCCACACTGAACCCAGGCGACAGGAGATCCTGAACACCTACGCAGATGCGTATGCACACTTCGGCCTTGAGGTGAATGTACATAAGACTTAGATTCTCTTTCAGCCTGCCCCTGATTCAGCCACACTCCCACCATCCATCCAGGTTACCCACTTTCAGTATCTTGGCTCCCACCTGTCCACCACTGCGGATATCGATGAAGACATTCAACATCGGATCAGATGCGCATCTCAAGCCTTTGGCAGACTCCGTACCCGTGTCTTCATCTGTAGGGAGCTGAAATTATCTACAAAGTTGCACTTATATCGACCAGTGGTCCTCCCATCTCTGCTATATGGCAGCAAGACATGGGTCACATACTGGAGGCACCTCAAGGCACTTGAAAACTTTCACCAAACAGTTTACGTTCCATCCTTCGAGTTCGCTGGGAAAATAAGAGAACGAATGTCAGCATTCTCGCTGACACCAACTGTAGGAGCATCGAGGCTACCATTATCCATGCACAACTACGCTGGACTGTCATGTTACCCGCGTGGACGACAGCAGACTGCCAAAGCAGCTTCTTTACAGTCACCTAACGAATAGTAAACGTAACGCTGGTGGGTAATTGAAAAGGTATAAGAATAGTCTTAAAACAAACCTGACAAAGTGCCAAATCGACCCCCTCACCTGGGAGACGATCACTCCACACTGTAACGCTTGGAAGAGCACTACACAAGAAGGTGTCAATACTTTCAAGTTCGCCTGACTGCATACCGAGACACCGAGGCAGACAAGCGCCAACGACGAAAAGACGCTGCCGTTGCCCCCCCCCCCCGACATGTGCAACATCTGTGATCGACTCTGCCGGTCCCGTATCGGCCTCTTTATTCACCTCAGAACTCACTAACGTAGGTGACGTCCTTAACAACTGATATCATTGTATCATACCTGGACGATCGTCATACTCGATTCCGAGTGTCAGCAAAGTAGTTGTAGTAGTAGTAGTGTGTGTGTGTGTACGTGTAAAATCTTTCAAAATAGATGATTGAGAATGTTTGGTTTCACTAAAGTATCGTGTTGGAATTGTTGTTCTGTGGACTCCCTGGACCCAGCTGTTGGTCGCCTGAGGGTAACCACCTGGACTTTATATTTCAGGAACTACTTGGACGCAGGAGTTGGTGTGGTGCCTCATGAAGGATAAAGACTCGCCGGAGGCTCAGCTGGAACTGATGAAGAGGTTCCCCTTTTTCGAGTAAGTCTTACTACTCTGGCATCCAATAAGTGCCATATAATATTATCTTCCAAATAAACACTAAGTGTACAGGGCTGGCCTCCTGTCCTAAAAATCACTGGTTCGATCCCGGGGCACTCCCAGTTCAGGCAACTGTAAATTGGACACTAACTACACAAGGTGGATTAGTGCAGGCCGGTCATAATTTTGGAACCCAATCTAGCTGACTTAAAAAAAGGAAAAAGGATGGAAAATATACCATAGTAACTTCAAGTGTAAATGACTAAGTGAGGATAAGGTACTTTACTGTTAATATCTGCTGCAGGAACAAAGTATAAGTACTTTTGGGTTAGTCTACATAATTCTAGGCCTAGTGATCCTTAAGGTAAACACAGAGGTAATTGTATCTCATCCTTTTCTCTTGGCAGTTTAGGGACACACGTATATATGTTAATTTTAATTCTTCCCGTTTTCAATAGAACGTCGTTTTCCCTTATTTTCTTCTATTACTACATTTCATCATCTTAGTTTAAAAATAAATGATAAGTTTACTCACTTGGTGTTTTCTCTCTTTAGTTTTTGACTCCCATCACTACCACCGTCCTTGTTTAACATAGATTCACTGCGTTGTCAGGTACGACTGTCTCATTCACCCCGACATGGAGGTATCTGGCCTGAAGGAGGACGACCCTATGCGGCCGGGTTTGTCCTGGAAAATGGTGCAAAGCATGGCCGCCCCCAGGACGATTAAGTCGCATCTCCCCATGCAGCTTCTTCCTCGTCAAATCTGGGATGTCAAGCCGAAGGTATTTCCAGGTCAAGTCACTCATATTTACACTCGCATGTGATTTAGGGAAATACAACACAACAATGCGTTCTTAAAAGTGTTCACAATAATCAATATTTCCCGGCATCAATGTCCAGAAGTATGGCTCCTGCGATTCAGCGATTTTTTTTTTCTTTATGGTCAAATGCAGAGCCGATCAGGCAGAGACGGGCGTGAAGGAATGGAATTTGACGTTTTGTGTCCTGGGGTGATATAACATTTGGGAGGATTGATAATGAGGTCCCATAAACCCAAGGTGAGAAGGGCCATGATAGATTGATTGATTGGTCCGCTTAATCATCACCTCCCTGTCTCTCTTGGTGCTAAGTCTCCCTCAGCCCTCACTCACCTGACGCCTTGCACTTTCGGCTCAACTTATGTCCACAGCTACACTCTCTGGTGTATGGTGTTGATGGTGTATGGTGCAGGACCTACACCATATACCACATACACCATCTATAAGACCTACACCATACACCACCTACACCATACACCACCTACACCATACACCACCTACACCATACACCACCTACACCATACACCACCTACACCATACACCACCTACACCATACACCATCTACACCATACACCACCTACACCATACAGTGAAAGCCACATTGAGATTCTGGGAGGAAGTTTTCCACCTCAGGAAGTAGTCTGTTTAGGAGGACTCGGGCGATAATCTTGCCAGCTACGGACAGCAGCGAGATCCCGCTGTAGTTGCCAGAGTCTGACCGGTCTTCCTTGTTCTTATAAATATTGACGATGGAGGCTTCGTTAAGCGCTTGGGGGATTTCCTGCTTTTCCTATATATTCTCCAAGAGAGAGTGAAGGCGGCTAGTAAGCAGAGGTCCTCCTTCTTTATACACCTCGGCCGGGATTCCATCAGGCCCTTAGGCTTTGTTATTTTCCATCTGTTTTATGGCAGTATCTACCTCATACTGGGATGGAAGAGAGCTGAGGTGGGTCAGCTCTGGATGCTGAGGGACCTGCTGGGTAATCAGGACATCCACATCTTTGTTTCGGTTGAGCAGCGAATGGTAGTGGTCATTCCAGCGCTGAAGGAGGCCTTCGTCGTCATTAATTAGAGAGTTACCATCGGATGAGTGAAGGAGGTTGTGCCATGAGTGATTGGCCCATTAAATTGTTTTAGTGGAATTGAAAAATTCACACATCTTGTGTTGATCTGCAAGTTTTTACGTTCCACATGCTTTATTTTTAAACCAGTCGTTCTTTAGATTGCGAAGTTCTCGCTGTCAGTCAGTTAAAACAGCAGGTTTGTCGTGAACGAGTACCTTGATTTTCTGGTCATTTTCATCAAACCTGTCCTGGTGTATTCCTTCGATCTGGCCGAGGGTCTCTCTCAGGTTTTTGTCATGACAGTGGCGAGAATACCCCATTCGGCAGTGGGATTTGGGTTGCTTGTTGTCGGGTTGTTTACCAGCCCACCTCTTCTGGATGCTTAATGAATTCGCCGTTTTGGTGCGACTTGAAGAGAGAGCTTGGCTCTGACAAGCCGATGATCAGTGTCGCAGTGGTCTGAGCCACACATGGCTCGGGTGATGAGGACATCTCGGCGATCTCTTTCTCTGACAATGATGTAGTCAATGAGATGCCAGTGTTTGGATGTGGGTGTTGCCAAGAACCTTTGACATTGTCTGCCTGCCTAAACAAGGTATTGGTGATAGCGAGGTTGTGTGCAGCACACTTGCTTAGGTGGAATAGGCCGTTGGGATTATACTTGCCTAGTCCATTTCTCCCTATGATTCCCTGTCAAATGTCAGCGTTTATTCCTACTTTGGCGTTGAAGTCACCAAGGAGCACAACATTATCTTCTCTGGGGATAGAGGTTAGCACCCTGTCAAGGTCGGCGTAAAGGGCCTCCTTGATGTCATCCTCTGCATCCACATCCAGTGTTAGGGCGTATGCATTGATGAAGAACACATAATGTGAATGATTCAATGAAACTTGGAGCGTCATGAGGCGCCCGTTGATACCAACAGGCATTTCAGCTAGCCTGTGTAGGATGCATTGGCGGATGGCAAAGCTAACTCTATAAATGCGGTTTCTTTCCACAGCAGGCTTACCTTTCCCAAAGAAAGTACTGTATAGCCAGACCACCGTTCTGTTATGTCGATGTTATGCCTAGCCAGCTCTTTTCCCACAAGGGCACTTCTTCTTTGTGCCATTATCCAGAAGGCTCCTGACATTCCATGCAGCGACCATAAGAGGTTGTATAGTTTGTTTTTGTTTTGATCTGTGATTATGATTGTTTTCGACCGCATAAGGATGACCTTACTGGGTGTGGTTGGCCAGTCAGGTTGGTTCTTTAGGCAGTCTATGTTTAGGGCACTTTTCTAGCCCCTACCCATGTGGGGTGAGCAGAGTGGGTCCTCGAGAGGGCTGCTCAGTCGCATAGGTAGGACCAGATTGCACTGCTGCCTAGATCCCAGTGCATAAACGACCATTTTATCTGTGCCGCCCATGTGGAGAGTTGTGACTAGAGACTCCAAGCAGTCATATCTGCCTGTCCCCGTCGTCATTCGTCCGTCGCCATAGGACTATAGGGGATGTAGGGGTTTTGATGATAATGATGAGAGGTATGGTGAACTGGATGATGGCTGTGCGTGAGTTGATTTATGTGGTGAGGCAGGAGCGCAGGCTGCAACCACACATCTTGGCTATCACTTTTCCTGATCCAGTGGGGAGAGGAAGAGTTGTAATGGACTGCCGATAGCCCAGTTTGTTGGGTTTCACCTCAGTAGCCTGTCCATTATGCATTGCCTTCATCCGCCAGTGTAGTCGTTGGGTTCCCTTGATGGTCACCTCTTCCGCCTATACCTCCGTTTGGGGTCGTGTTGGAGCTCTGTAAGTATTTCTGCCTGATGCGGGGCTTCACAGCAGATTTTTCGTTCGGGGTTTACTCCCGTAGCCTTATACCTGCCAAGGTTAATCCACCAGGACGTGTCAACATGCGCCTATGCACCGTCTCTCTGGGGCCCACTGTTGCTCCGAAATCCCCTGCTGGTCTAGCCTGGGCCCACGATGCACCCAGTTACCGTGTGTTGTCACGAGAAGGCACAGCAGGAGTCCTGATGGTGAGGAGGCTGTGTACTGGCAGGCTAAGACTTATGCAAGTTGCTTCCCTTTTCACCACGAGGACTAGCCAGCGGCGGTAGCTGAAAGCGAGAGGAAGCAAACAGTGCTTGCACCTTAATTCTAACATAATGCTGCCACACTAGACGCATTACACCACCCTGCGTACCACCTACAGCCCTACACCCCACACCAACTAATGATATGTGGTGTAGGTAGGTGTAGTACATAAGTGTGGTGTAGGTAGGTGTATTACTGATGGTGAAGGTTTAAGTGTATTTGCAGGTGGTGTACGTGTGTAGGGACCCACGCGATGTCTGTATCTCTTATTATTATCACTATCGTAAGCTGGAAGGATATGTTGGGGACCTACAGCACTTCATCGACTGCTTCCTTGATGAGAAAGGTAGGTACTCTCTCTCTCTCTCTCTCTCTCTCTCTCTCTCTGTTTAAATGTTCTCGTAGGTCAGAAGTTTATTAATCCCTGAATACATACATACATACATACATACATACATACATACATACATACATACACACATACATAAACGGATGGGTTGGTAGGTTATTCAGTAAAATCTGTCATGGATTTTGGGTAAAGTTTAGGTGTGGATGTTATATAAGGTTATATTATTTTGTGTTTCTTATATTTCTTACCGTAGAGTTCGATACCTTCACACTGGTTACTTACAGGAGATTATGGTGTATCTACATAGGATTCACTCCACCACCCGACATTCCATGATTTATACTTGATAAATGATGATTTAATGAGTTCCATTAATTTCCAACATCCGTCTAAGTTATTGGTTATACTTTGTCATAACCAATCAGTCATTACCTTTAGTAATAATAAGATAGGATCACAGATACAGGCAGATAATTGCACTTACATTTATTTGTCAAGCTTCCATACAATGATTTACAATTTGCATGGATATATGAGTCACTCACATTCACGCTGTAATAAAATTAATCTTCTAAAAGAGGGAATTTTCAACTTGGGACACATGTGATTACTCTACTATGGGTATGACTTAACAGAGCCTTAATTCTTAAAGTGATACATTTACTGCCAGCCTGGAATGCTCTTGTTGCAACCTGGCTTCCGCACAAGAACTTCTTTCCACGGGGAATAACAACAAAAAGGTACTCCTGGGTTACCACACATAGTCTCGCGTCACTGACAGTCACTGAAGACGGTTGTCGCGGCAAGGAGAACTGATAAGCGTGACTTGATTAACCACTTAGGTGTAATAGACCAGCCTGGATTGCTTTTGTCACAACCAGGCTTCCACACGTGATATTTCCATAGGGAATACAAACCTAGGTTAACACACTTAGTCTCGTGTCACCGATGGTCCACAGGAAGGAGTGGCGGTGGAGGACTCTGTGTGGTGTCCCGTCCCCTTCAAGAGGGAGAGGGTGGAGACTAACCCATGGCCTCGGGGATACTAATTAAAATGCGGCGTGAGGCGATGAACAGTACAACACTGTCTCAATGACCTCCCCTAAAGACTGGCTAACATACCACTAATGGAAAAAAATATGTCGTAGTCATGGCTAGCCGGGTGCCTTATCTTTAGTAAAACAAACTTTGGAGTTGGTTGGTAAGCCTAACGCAACCCATGACAATGTCCATATACTATAACTTCCATAGATTCCTTATGTGCACATTGGGAGTACAGGTATACAGTGCACATAGTGTAGGTATACAAATAATGTACAATCCCCTTCACTAGAGCATTTACAGGGGCTCGTCATGTAAACATTTCACAAATCATTACATTGAGATGTTTGTTTTAATATTGTTTTAATTTGATTCCATAGTATGTTTACTATTGTGAGTTTCCTTCTGTTGAATGTAAACAAACACAAGGTTACCACACTCTACAAAACCTAACGAGCCCTCTAAATGCACTTGTGAAAGGAACTATACATAGTGTAGTATACAAACAATGTACCTGTACCATATACCTGGACCACATACTTTTACCATATACCTATACCATATACCTGTACCATGTACCTGTACCACATACTTTTACCATATACCTATACCATATACCTGTACCATATACCTGTTAGGGGAGATATGATAGAGGTGTACAAGTGGGTAAGTGGGATTAACAAGGGTAAAATGGAAGATGTTCTGAAGCTCAGTAATAACGAAATAACTAGAACAAATGGCTTTAAATTAGATAAATTCCGATTCAGAAAGGATATAGGCAAGCACTGGTTTGGTAATAGAGTTGTGGATATGTGGAATAGGCTACCGAGTGCTATAGTAGGATCGGGGACGCTAGGGAGCTTCAAGACGAAGTTGGATAGGCACATGGAAGTGCTGGGATGGGTGTGAAAGGGATCTGCCCTGTATGGGCCAGTCGGCCTCCTGCAGTATCCCACTTTCTTATGTTCTTATGTTCTTATACCTGTACCACATACTTTTACCATATACCTATACCATATACCTGTACCACATACTTTTACCATATACCTGTACCATGTACCTGTACCATATACCTGTACCACATACTTTTACCATATACCTATACCTGTACCATGTACCTGTACCGTATGCTTGACGTAGTGCGTTGGTCTCCCCTCCAGTGGTCTACTCACCCATCTGGTCACACATCCTCACCTTCTGGCAGCTAAGGCATCAACACCACGTCCTCTTCATCAGGTTTGAGGACATGAAGGAGGTCAGTTAACACCTGTGTCGGTACCTAAAATCGGAATTTAACTAAACCTAACAATCTACTCTCGCTATCCTAATCTAACCTAACCTTTCAACCTAACCTAACCTAACCTTAACTAACCTAACGAGTTTTATCAGTTATATAAATGACTTGTTATATATCCAGCCATACAAACTGTACTTCATTACCTATTGTTGTATGTTTGGTATCATTTGTTTCTGTTTGCTTTATATTTGGTACAAAACAAAGAAATAATAAAGACTTCATTCGAAAGCGAATTTCATCTTTGACTTCGACCTTTTAAGATAAATATTTAACATTTTCTAACATCCTCTCTGAAGTGCTAATGCCTTGAATTCATTTGCATTTTGATAGTCTAGTTATATAACATTACTCTAGATAATAACAGGTCTGCTTACCATTTGTGACCATATTTAGCTTGAATAAATGGACAGTTACACAAACATTTTCTTTGAACCAATCAGCTATTTTTATAGAAGAGGGGCGTGGCTTATGGGCTTGGTTAACGTGGAATTACTATAGGTGGCGTGACTCACGGTGTACAGTATGATATCATCGGACAGTCATCACCATATGGAAGGAAGTCATATCCTGATCTTTCAGGATGCTATCATTCCGCCAAATTCTAAAATAGATATGCTAGGCCTCACCATTTCCTCTAATATGTCATGGAAGCCACACATCCACAACATTGCTAAAGCTGCCTCCCAAAAGCTGGGAATGCTGTACAGATGCTGTAGCTACTTCACTCCTGAGTAGTTGCTTCAAGTTTAAAAGGGATTCATTCGTCCTAACTTGGAGTACTGCTCTCATATCTGTGGCGGCTCTTCTTCTGTCCAACTGTTAGATAGGGTGGAATCAAAGGTATTTCGTCTTATTAACTCTCCTCCTTTAGTTGATAATCTTTCTTCCCTTTCTCTTCACCACAATGTTGCTTCACTCTCTCTCTTTTACAGGTACTTTAACGGGCAATGTTTGGTGGATTTGGCATCCTGTGTACTACCCTGCCACAGTGAGGTTTCGAATAGCCTTGAGTCTGAAGTTTCGAAACAGCTGGGGGAAATGCTATGGTCGGCCAACAGATGTTGCCCACTGTAGTGTGTGTGTGTGTGGGGGGCTAGTCTAATAACAGGCTGTGTGTAGGTGGAGCATAACATCGTGAATTCTGCAATCACTGATAACAATAAGAATATCATGAAGATAGTTAATATTATTAAGCATGTGTAACGGGTAAATAAAAGTACTACAACGACCATATCTCTGCTGTTCATGGCTACGACGGTGAGACTGATGGGCACACCAGTAATTAATTCTCCTTGACTACCATTACTGGTAGTCAAGGAGAATACACAAGTTGTTACCAAGGTTGGCGCCACCCACACCAGGGGTAGGAGGTGATATCGAACACTGAAACATGCCGAGGTCTCATTCCTACCATCGTCGTCACCAACAAGTAAGTCACATTAATTTGTCAGCATAGCCCATGTCGTTCTTACACTATTGCAGGGTGTCCCATGAGTGAACAGCAGATATTTGTAGAGGTGAAAGACTTTGTGATATTGAGTTGAAAATCTTCTATACACATAAGCATTTTTCGGTTGGCAAAAGTCCTGGGAAAATGAACCAACAAGTCATAAGCTAAAAATGATCACATTATCAGTTTATCCTTGGTCACCATGAAAACAATCCTCTCGACATCACGAAACTATTCTGAATCGTCTAAGAATTGGGCATACGCGATTGACGCATGGCCAACTCATGTCTTCCCCTAATGGAGCCCCACCCATATGCTCCAACTGCCGAACACAAATAACAGTCCAACATATTCTCATTGAATGCCCTATTTATAATCGGTATCGAACAATGTGCTTCACTAACCCTACAATGTAAGATATTTTAGCAGAGACCCCAAAATTTTCGCTAAGTTCAGTTTTTACCTTTTTGAAATACTGTAATCTCCTCCAAACAATATAACACTAAATTATAGAAACACAAATATGTTAACTAATCCCTCTGGCCAGCCCTAGGAGAGACTCAAATGGGTGTCAGTGGTCTGGTTAAACTAAATCTTGATGATGATGATGATTATCGGCGAATGTTCACTCTACAGTCGCAGGGGTGGTGGTGGAGGTTTGGGGGTGGGGGGGGGGGGGATCCACTTGCAGTTCACTATGAATACATGAAATAGGAAGGGTTTCTTGGGCAGTTGATCCTAAAAGATTTACCAAAACGTTATGTCAGAGTAATAATACTTAACCTAGGTGTTACTAATACCATTAATTTACTCTAGTATATAAAAGCCTGCATCAGTTACCACAACATAATATTACTCTGCCATTTCAGATATGCCTGCAGGACGAGCAAATTCGTCGGCAGTGATTGCTGAGCGAGGCCAAATCATCGGATGTGGAGAGCCAGGGCAACTGTGCCGAACATTGCTCTCGAAGTGGGGAGGAGCACCAAGACGATTAGGAGGTGGATCCGCCGGTGGGAGGAAGAGGGCTCAGTGGAGACGAAACCTCGAAGCGGGAGGCCACGAGTAACGTCGGCAAGGATGGACGCCATGATCGTGGCAGCTGCAACGGCATATCCAATGCGAACATCAGTGGAGCATACAAGAAATCTGGGCCTCAACTGCCATCACATGACGACGAGACGCCGACTTCATGAAGCCGGGATCGACTGCCATATTCCAGCTCACAAAGGGTGGCTAACACCTACTCACAAGGAGTGTCGACTCGGCTTTGCATTGGAACACCTTCCACATAGAGAAGAATACTGGAGAACCATTATATTTACCGATGAAACGGTGTTCAGGTCAGTGGGAGCCGAAGCAAGGCAGTGCTGGCGGCCCCCCAACACACGCTACCATGAGAAACACATTCAACATCGCGCAGTGAGTGGTAGGGTGTCAGTGTCATTCTGGGGGTGGATGTGGGCACATGGGCCAGGTGAACTGGTCAAGATCAATGGCCGTTTCACTGGTGAGCAGTATGTAGACATCCTGGAGCAAGTGCTAATTCCTACAGTCCGGGCTATGGCAGTTCCAGCCCCCCACACTATCAGGCTGGTTCATGACAACAGTCCCATTCATACCAGCAACATAGTGAAGGACTACCTCCAGGATCACCCTGAAATTGAGGTCATCGACTGGCCAACACTAGGATGTGATATTAATCCGATTGAACATATTTGGGCCATGATGAAACGTGATTGGGATATTGGGGAGCAGCGAACCTGTGCAGCAATAGAGGCCAAAGCTTACGACGTGTGGGAGAGTATACGTCGACGACCAGGGGTGTGCCTGAAGCTGGTCGACTCCATCCCTAATCGCCTTGATGAAGTCCTGAATGCAATGGGTGGCTGGACCAAATACTAAGATGTGTGTATTGGTGTATTGTTTGGATTTTAGTATTGTTTGTAAATACAATTAATATATATTAACTCACCTACAGTGTTATCTTAAATCCATGTCCTTAATGATGTCTTAAACTATATCGCATGAAAATTCATAACAAAGTAACTTAACAGCCACAAATTATGTATTGTGTGGTATACAATGATCTGTATGACACGTCGTGGAATGTGTTGTCTTATAACACAATATAATTATATAGTTACAATTGCTACCATCATTGAAATGCTCATGATGTTCAGCACACAATATTAACGGTAACTGAGCACACTCCAAAATATATGAAGCTTGCATATTGTGGTGGGGTGTTTAAACACTGGAACTTGGAAGAATTGGAACTAGATTAAGTCTGAATACTATTTTACAATACTGATAACTTTTTCACTCCACTCTTTTTAACATAAGTATATAATTATATAATATTGCATATTATCACAAATATTTATTAAGCAAAGGATGGGTGGAATATAAATAAATATTACCATAATCTCTTTGTCGGAATAACAACAAAATTGTGACGTGGTCGCTGAGTAAAACTAGCTGACCAAGGCCCTTCACGCTGATCCTTGCATATTTCACTTTTATCCTTAATATATTCCATTCTTTAAAGTATCATTGTGACCTGAGCGGCAATAAGCACCCAGGGCACTGCACCTGTTCCATGAATTCGTAACCATAAAGAAACAACTGTAAGACAAAACGTAGTTAAAAAGGCAGCTTGAAATTATGGTGGTATAAATAATAAATAAACCTGCCTCTCATCCAGCCCCCACCTCCTCTATCCCCTCCCCCCCACACACACACACTACAGTGGGCGACATCTGTTGGCCGACCATAGCATTTCCCCCAGCTGTTTCGAAACTTCAGACTCAAGGCTATTCGAAACCTCACTGTGGCTGGGTAGTGGACACGACTTTTGTGCACGATAGTACCACCGGCAAGGCCGTGGGCTCATAACACTCGTCTTGCCTGCGATGCCCACCGTTTCTCTGTGGATGTCGGTCACACTAGAATAACCCGTTATGGTACATCCTTCTTTCCTCACACAGCCAAACTGTGGCATGCTCTGCCTTCTTCTGTGTTTCCATAGTCATAGAATCTGTCTCACTTTAAAAAGCTGGTTTTCTGGCAACTTCGTGGTGTAGATTAATATAATCTTTTTCTCCTCTTTTTTAATTTATTTTTACTGTTATTTTTCGCTCCCTAGGCCCTGTTGTGGGTTAACGACCTGAACCCGAGTGAGCTATTCCCCGTAAAAATATATATATATACTTCTGATTGAACAATATGTATATGTTATATGATGATACTTATGTATACGTTAGGTTATATTAGGTTTGGTTAGATTTGGTTAAACTATTTAAGGTTAGGTTTGGTTAGACTCAGTGAGATTCAGTAATGCCATTTTTTCAATGCTAATTACTCTCAACTGTGGGTTTTTGAAGTACGATTTTGAAGTTTTTGTGTTATTCTGGAAGTACTTATTAGTTAAACCCCTAAATTCCAATTCCGAATAAAAGTAGATTTCGGTCGAAATATTCGTTTCAGCCATTTTAGCCCCAGATAAAATTTTGTTCAAGATCTTAATATAGGTATTCCTGAGCTCGCTGATTCCGATGCTATGGTCCACGATTCGATTGCGGAGTAATTAGTGAGTGTAATGACGCTTGGAAAATTAAAGGTTAGGTTTAGTTAGATTAATTAAATTAGATTAACTAAGGTTAGGTTTGATTAGATAAGGCTAGATTATTTAGGGTTACGTTTGGTTTGATTAGGTCAGGCCAGGTTAGGTCAGGCCAGGTTAGGTCAGGCCAGGTTAGGTCAGGCCAGGTTAGGTCAGGCTAGGTTAGGTCAGGCCAGGTTAGGTCAGGCCAGGTTAGGTCAGGCCAGGTTAGGTCAGGCTAGGGCCATTTAGGACTGACACCCAATTTCACAGGTGACGTGTGTTTGCAGGACCTGGCCGCCGTGGTGAGGCAGGTGGCCGAGTTCTTAGGGAAGGAGGTGAAGGAGGAGGAAGTGTCGTGGCTGGTCCATCACTGCTCCTTCGACCAGATGAGTCAGAACCCTGCCGCGAACAATGAGACTTTCACGACAGCGCCCACTGAGGAGGCCAAGGGCATCAAGTTTATGAGAACAGGACAGGTAAATTCATGAGATAATGGCAGGTACAATAGGTCAAGAATATTACATTGTAAACTCTGGGTATTAGTAACAATTACAATTTACACTTTGGGTGGTGATAACAAGTACACACTACACTCTGGATGGTGTTAACAAGTACACACTACACTCTGGATGGTGTTAACAAGTACACACTACACTCGTACTACACAGACGGGTGATGGTGGTGGACATAATCTGTCGAGCAGCTGTTTGGTCGGATACTTCTCACGGCACCAAACACACCCTATATAAACTTATGTGATAAAATCTTTAATCATATGATGAGGTCATACATTATTTTATTCAGGAGATTTAATAAATAATCAAATGTACATAAAGCATTGCTACAAAAGAAGTATAATACGTAGTAGTAGTAGTAGTAGTAGTAGTAGAATATCACACATGTCCGGGCAAGATGTGGGGAAGTGGGTCAAAGAAGCCTACTCAGAAGTTGTCAGGTGATCGCCAGCTAAACTCTTTGAACCACCTAAGCATGCGGCCATCAAAGAAATGATCCTGGAGATGACGCACCTCAAACAAAATTACACTCACGACAGCTCCTTGGCCCCATTAGCTTTTCATGTATTGGCAATAATACCCTTTTATTCTGCCATAGAACACACGCAAGGATTAAGTGCAAGGAAAATGTGGCAGAAATGAAGAAAAGATTGACAATGTGGCAGAATAGGGTTCTTGGTGATATCTTACGCCAGGCAAGAGCACTGCATCACAGACGAAAATTCATAGGAGACGGAAAGCAAACCATTGAGTATGTTGCCAGAAAATTTGGTAACAAGATGTGTGTAGGAAAAGTGTCATCTGATGGTGTGCTGCCAATAAACAGAGAGACCTTAAAACAACTGAAAGTAAAACATTCTCTTGCAAGTGCAGAAGAAGGCATCAGGTCCCAGGGTGACTATGTCCTTTCAAAGCACTGAAGACACAGGGAGGGGCAGGCCCTTCAGGCCTTTATGCATATGGTTGGAGAATCATCCTCAGCACCAACAAGTCTGGCGACACAAGTGATCTCTGGAATGCCACCGCTGCCCTTGCAAGAAAGCTAGCAACCCCTTGCAGCCATCACCTACAAGCTCTGACGGCCTGCCGCCTCATTCCTTTGGATAAAAATTCAGGATGTGGGCCTATATGGGAGGGGAAGTGCTAAGAAGGATCATTGGAAAATGGATATTTGCAAGTATGTGCTGGTCACCAGGCCGGGGGTGAAACTGCCATTCACGCCATGAGAAAGATATTTGAGCAGCACAATTGTGAGGCTTCCAACACATTCAACATAATCAACCGCAAGGCTACACTGCACAAAATCAAGATCAAGTGTCCAAGTTTTGCAATGTATGTTGAAAACACCTACAGGAACCCATCAGACCTCTATATAGCAAGCTTCAAGGCCCTAAGAGGAGATACCACCATACAGTCAACTGAGGGAACTTCGCAGGGGATCCTGTTGCCATGGCAATGTACGCACTAGGCCTATCTGTGCTCCAACATACAATAAAATTTGAAACAACCAAGGTCAAGCAAGTGGCATATGCTGATGACCTTACAGGAGCAGGAAAAGTGGAGAACATCAAAAGTGGTGGGACCTGATAACATCAGGAGGTCCACAAATAAGGTACCACCCAAATGGCAGGAAGTACCATAAACGGGCAACAAACGTGAGGTCAAAATAGCTAATGACCGCCAAGACACATATGTGCAGTAATCGGCACGAAGGACTTCAAGGCCGAGTACATAACGGGAAAATTAATGTACATGAGTGGGTGAAGGAAATCCAAGCTCTCTTTCATATTGCTAAAACAGAGCCACATGCGGCATTTGCGGCATTCATCCATGCCGTCAAGCATCGCTGGAATTACCTAATGTACACTATTCCTGATATTGGATCCCTCCTCCATGCTCTGGAAAAAGCCATCAGCGTCATCTTTATTCCAACACTAGTGAAACACTTTCACTTAAACCCAGCAGAAAGGTAACTCATTGCACTACCACCGAGACTGGGAGGAATGGGAATGACCAATTCAGTGGAGCTTCCTGCCAACGAATATCAAAACTCTGTCAAGCTCACGGCAGCCCTCACTGAGCACATAATAGCTCAGAATGCAGCAAGGCAGGTGGATACCAACGAATTAAACAAGATTCGACGGTCCATTACGACAGAGCGACAGCACACCCAATTGTCAGAGAAGAAAAAAGTAGTTATAGCGCAGGAGGTGGGCGCCTCGAGCTGGCTAACAACTTTGCCGATAAGGGCAAAAGGCTTCAGCCTTAATAAACAAATTTACAGATGCCATTTCTCTAAGGTGTAGTTTGGCCCGAGTAGAAGGTTTGCCCCTCCATTGCATAATGGCTCACCCTACGACATCGATCATGCCATGGTGCATAAGAAGGGGGAATTCGTATGCATGAGGCATGATGAAGCGGGGATCTCACAGCGAATATGTTGAAGGAAACCTGCCACGACGTCACGGTGGAATCCACCCTCCTTCCACTGAAAGGTGAGAATCTCCATCACAGGGCATCCAACACACCCAACGAAGCCCGTTTGGATGTCAGTGCTCGAGGATTCTTGACGCAGAGACAGCGATCCTTCTTTGACTTCAGGATATTCGACCCCATGGCCGCATGTTTCCCTTAACATGTCCCTTGAGGCTGCACACAAGAGGAACGAGAATGACAAGAACAGGGCATATGGGAGAGAATTCAGAATGTGGATCAGGGCAGCTTCACTCCTTTTGTGTTCACAACCTCTGGCGGAATGGGACCAAGTGCAAGATGTTTCTATGCACGACTGACCGAGGTGTCATCCGAACATAAGCAGCAGCCCCGAGATTATTTTGCAGCCTGGTTCAGATGCCGACCGTCTTTCTCTCTGCTTAGGTCTGCATTGCTTTGCCTCAGGGGAACGATATCGTCGGCCCCAGACCAACAACGATCGCAGATATTGACTATGAGGCAAAAGTCACTGAATGCTGCATGGATCTGCGGCTCAACTAACTCAACACAGCTAGGGTAGCTACTTTTGTATAAGGATGTTGCATTTTAAGGTAATAAAATGGCGGTGAAGGTGAGCAGCGTGATTGTGAGGCCGTTCTCCTGGTGGATGCTTCAAACGCATTCAACATACTTAACACAAGGCTGCACTGCACAACATCATGATCAAGTGTCCAAGCTTTGCGATGTATGTTGAAAATTCGAATAGGAATCCATCAGACCTCTACATAGTAAACAAACAAAGGCTCTGCACGAGGTGATACCATCTTACAGGGAACAACACAGGGACCCGTTGCAATGGCAATGTATGCAATTGGCCTATCAGTGCTCAACAAAGAAATAAAATTTGAAACAACTTGGGTCAAGCAAGTGGCATATGCTGATGACCTTGCTTACAGGGAGCAGGAAAAGTGGAGGACATCAAAAGTGGTGGACTTGTGAGAGCAACATCGCGGAGTCCACAAATAGGGTACCACCCAAACATAGCAAGTCCTTCCTCATCGTGAAGCCAGAACACGTATGAACGGGCAATGGGTTTTTGGCGGAAGTGAGGTCAAAAATAACTAAAGGACGGCCAAAAAGACATCTAGGCGCAGTAATTGGCACTACGGACTTCAAGACCAAGTACGTAGCGGGAAAGGTGAATGAGTGGGTTGGTAATCCAAAGCTCTGTCTGGGAATTGCTTCTTACAAGAGCCACATGCAGCCTTTGCTGCATTCACCCATGGAATAAGCATCGTTGGAACTACCTGATACGCTATCCTGATATCGGACCCATCCTCCACCCTCTGGAAGAAATTATCCATGTCATTTCATTCCTAAATTAGTGAAATACCCTGACTTAACCCCAGCAGAAGGAGCACTTCTTGCACTTCCACTAAGACTGGGAGGGATGGGACTAACAATCAGGAGATTGCCTTGCAAACATCAAAATTCGCCCAAGCTCACGGCAGCCCTCACGAGACCACATAATGGCCCAGATGCAGCAGGGAGGTGGATACCAGTGAAGTAAATAAGATTCGTAGGTCCATTACGACAGATCGACAGCACTGCCAAAATGATAAGTTACAGCAACTGTTGCTGCAGGTACCAGAAAATTTTTTAAAAAAAGTAGCTATAGCACAGGAGGTGGGCGCCTCAAACTGGTTAACTACGTTACCGATAAGGGCAAATGGTTTCATTCTTAATAAACAAGTATTTAAAGATTCCATTGCTCTAAGGTACGGTCGGCCAGTAGAAGGTTTGCCCTCCCAATGCGTGTGTGGCTCTTCCTATGATGGCGATCACGCCATTGTGTGTGTGCAGAAAGGGGGCTTCATATGCATGAGGGCATGACGAGGTAAGGGGACCTCACCGCAAATATGTTGAAGGAAATCTGCCGGGATGTCATGGTAGAACCGACCCTCCTTCCATTGGATGGTGAGATTTCTTCAACACAGGACTTCAAACACATCTAACAAGCCCGTGTGGACGTCAGTGCTCGAGGATTCTGGACGCGGGGACAGCAAGCTTTCTTCGACATCAGGATTTTTGATCCCATGGCCGCGTGTCACCGTAACCTAGCTCTCGATGCTGCACATAGGAGGAACGAGAACGACAAGAAGGGCATATGGGGAAAAGAATTCAAAACGTTGATCAAGGCAGCTTCACTCCTCTAGTGTTCACAACCTCTGGTGGGATGGGACCAAGTGCAAGATGTTTCTACACCAGACTCCGGAGGTGATCTCCGACAGAAGCAGCAGCCCAGAAATTACGTTACAGCCTGGATGAGATGTCGACTGTCTTTCTCTCTCCTTCGGTCGGCTTTGCTCTGCCTCAGGGGGGCAAAGAGCTTCTGCCCAATTCCGACAACTGCTGCAGATATTAACTATGAGCTGGTCACTGAATGCCATAGATCTGCGGCTCAACTAATTCAACACAGATAGGATAGCTATGTATTAGGATATTTATTATTAAAGTAATAAAATGGTGGCGAAGGTGTGGCTATTGGGGGAGGCTGGAGGCCACGTCTCTAAATAAAAAAAGAAAAAAAATAAAAAAATAAAAAGTAGTAGTAGTAGTAGTAGTAGTAGTAGTGCTATACTGTATGTACACAGTGTACAGTACATATGAATACTGTATATATGTTTTTCTTTTGGATGTGTGTTTACATGTGTAATAATAATAATAATAATAATAATAATAATAATAATAATAATAATAATAATAATAATAATAATAATAATATCTATTATTGTTATTGAAAGAACATGTGTGTGCGTTTGCTGTTAACTGTGATCACACTCCTACACAACAAAACTGTGAACTTTACACTGACTGATATATATATTTTTTTTTTTTGTAGGTGGGTGACTGGAAGAACTACCTGACGGAGGAGCAACAGAAGGCCTTCAAGACGTGGACACTGAAGAATCTCGAGGGCTCAGACTTTCCTTACTACCAAGACTTCAACTAGAGACAAACTTATCAACATAACGTCAATTGTTTTACCTGCCAGTGTATGGTTGAGGTGTTTATAAGTAGATTTGAATTATAAATAAAACACTGATGTGTCCTCTGATTATCGTCTGTTATTTAATCATTTATACGGGACTATAAATCTTTCCCCGGGCCCGGTACATGGTTTTTTGCTAAGGGTTCTTTTATTTTTAGGAAGATAGCTTCAGAACACGTATTTCTGTGTAGCAAGTAATTTCCATTTACTGTGTTTCTGGTACAGATATTGTTTTATAGTTGCTGTTAGTTCCCTCGTGGCAGCCAACCAGCGAGCATGTGGTGCAGAGAACTGTTGGATTTTATTCTCCCTCTACAACGATGATCCTTCACAGTACAGAAGCCTAAGTTCCAACCTGGTTTTCTATGTTCGATACGTTTAAAGGTGTTTCCTACAACGCTATGCGTAATTCTGCATCATTGCTCTCTGTAGGTTATGTATACAAGCTACTGTGCCGAGTAGCAACCCTGTATATAACTTACTGTGCCGAGTAGCATTTATATATATCACGTGGCAACACTGCACGTTATGTGGCAACATTGCCCCGAGGCTGCCATATGGCAAGGCAGCCTCAGTCTGACTGTGTGAGCCGTGCATGGCACACGCGAGTCACCACTTGTATTTCTCTCATCCATAATAAACGGACTTCAGTGTTACACGGTGTTTCCTACCCATCACTGCATTCTTCAGGGAACACTTGTAACCACCACTCTCCGCAAGGTCGAAAGTGTTGTCCACCATTCTCATTCGGTGGAAGGAAGATGACGTGTCGAAGCGAACTCAAGACCTCACACACTCACTTTCCCAGCGTGATTATAGCAGCAAGAATTGGAAGATTGTGCCTGCAGTATTAACGAGTACACTCCATTATCAGAATGAAGAATTCACCATGGCCACTGTAGTTTTACCTGACGTGTATACGGGGACTGATGTAGTATGTCTACCGGAAACGTGCAAGGTTAAGGGTTTATCGTGCGAATCGACATTGAGCACGATTAGACCTGGTGGCTTAACAGACGTTCTAGTTCGTAACAGAACAGGAGCTCTTAGAATATTGAAAGAAGAATGTTATTTGTGTGATTTTCTGGTTTATCATAACAATGTTGTATCACAGCCTATGCAGTTCCCAGTTGGTATTTGTTTCTCAACCTCATCAAACTAGGCAGGAGAGGATTGATCAAATAGCACCACATGTTAAGGTGATTGATCATCCTCAAGGCAAGACACGACTCTTAGAGCTGCTTGCCAACTACAGAAACATTGTAGCTTTGCCTGGGGAACAGTTGGGGCACACAAATTTAACATCACATCACATATCCTTAAAAGAGGGCACAAATCCAATCTACATACCAGCTTACCGACTACCACATAGCCAGTGCGCTGTAGTTCAGGATATGGTTCAGGATATGTTGGATGAGAAGGTTATCACATTTCTAAATCCCCTTTCAATAGCCCTTTGTTCTTAGTCCCAAATGTTACGAGTTGGGGATTTAGAATATAGTTATACGTCTACCCAGATCCCAACAGGTAACAAAAAAAAAAAACAAAGACAATCGGACTATAAAAGGGTAGACAAGGATGCGAGTTTTCGTTGTATATAATAAAGTACCATAAATCCCTTAACAAAATATTCAGCTTATAAATTACCTTAACCAAACTTAACCTAAACACTAACAGTATATACATATTAATAAACATAAAACAATCTTGAAGCAAATGGACGTGGGGAGTTAATACAAAATATAAGTACTTAAGTGAGGAGCTGAGATGGCTGACGAGTAAGGCTGAGTATTGTAGAAGACGGTAGGTGGTCACTGCACGTAGGTTTAGAGGATAGATGATCCTGTGGTCACTTCCCAGAGCCAAGTCCCTCTCCTCGAATTGGAGCTGACAAAGAAGACTTTGAGGAGGTGACGCAACAACCAGGATAGGGAGAAGGGAAACCTCGGAGTGGTAACTAAGACGAGTCATACTCGTGTCTCGTCCCTAGATGGCGTTGCTCGTGGTGCTGGGTAGGTAGATCAGGACAATAGATGGCGTGGTTCGTGGTGCTGGGTGGAGGGGTTCGTAACACAAAGAAGGATGGCGGTTGGCGTCCAGTTGTTGACTTTAGATCCATCAATGAAAATACGGTCCCAGATAGGAACCCTATGCTTGTCTTGAGTGATATAGTACAGTCATTAGGCAAGGATAACGCTGTGTTTAGCAATTTGGACTTGCTTAGCGGGTATTGGCAAATACCACTCGATGAGAAATCCCGAGAGGTTACTGCTTTTAGTACTCCTATGGGCCATTTTGAATTTCTGCAAATGCCATTTGGTCTGAGGAATGCCCCACTGACGTTTCAAAGGATGATCAACACCCTGTTTGCCGGATTGATAGGTACCACAGTCTGTGCTTATTTGGATGATGTAATAGTAGTCAGTAAGGATGTCGATACCCATCTTGTCAAACTGCATAAAGTTTTGCAAAAACTTGCCACAGCAGGTCTTAGAATTAAACTCTCGAAATGTGAGTTTTTAAAATTCAGAATCCATTTCCTTGGTCATGTTGTTGACAGTGACGGCACTCATACAGTTGATGATAGAGTTAAAGCTGTATCTCATATTCCGCGTCCTACATCGGTTGATCAAGTGCATAGCTTTCTTGGTTTATCTGGATATTATCACTCTTTTATTAAGAACTATGCAACATTGGCGTCACCCTTAATAAGGTTACTAAAGAAAGATGCAATGTTTGTGTGGGATGCTGAACACGAAAATAATTTTGTTGCATTGAGGACGGCGCTTACCAATGCCCCTATTTTAACATTCCCTGATTACACTCAAGCTTTCACTCTGTGTACCGACGCTTCTGGAGTAGGATCGGAGCTATACTCATGCAAGTGGATTCAAGATGAAAGTTTAGAGTGATAGTTTTTGCAAGTCGTAAACTTAATGATGCCGAAACACGTTATTCAGCAACGCATTTAGAGACGTTAACTGTTGTGTGGGCACTGAAAAAGTTTAAAGACATTATCTTTGGTTATAAGATAACTGTGTTTACGGATCATGCGGCAGCAACAGAACTGTTCCATGGCAGGAATCTATCAGGCAGATTAGCACGCTGGTATCTGACAATTCAGGAATTTGACCTTGAGTTTAGATATTTACCGGGAAGGGCCCGTTATGGTCAGCAGTCATTTTTGCTTTCGAGTCGGGAGAGGATGTTAAGCTTCCCAAATTAATTCTTCCTCTCAGTCAGTTTGAGCTACGACATAATATAATCCATCGATCAAAAGAGACAACTGAGGGTATTGTTACACAAATAGTTGTACCTGACACGTTGTTTGAAACGATTATAACGTTGTTCCACGATGTTCCTCAGGCGGGTCACCAAGGACGTGACAAGTGTCTTGCGGAAATCAGAAAAAAATGTACTCAGCATAAGGGTACTATAAGGTCACCGACTCCAATTCTACAATATCCTACACCAGACCGTCCGTTTGACACAGTCGCTATAGACTTGTTACAACTTCCGAGGAGTCATCAGGGATCCTCGTACGTCCTAGTGTGTGTGGATCATTTTTCTAGATTTGTGGTTTTAGTCCCACTGAAGGATAAAACAGCCGAATCTGTGGCCTATGCATTAGAGTTCAAGAATCAGCTAGTAGCACAACTATGTGCCCAATAGGGAATACAATAAAGTTTTGTGACAGCCTATCATCCACAGGCTAATGGCCTTGTTGAGAGAACCAATCGGAAGATCCTAGAGATACTTCGCCCGATTGTGTGTGATATGCAATACACATGGGAAGATTGGTTACCGCAGGTTGCAGCGTCTATTAATGGGTCGATTAATAGCTCTACAGGCAAATCACCCTACTACATTGTCTATGGTACCGATAAACGTCTGCCTTATGATGGACTTACAGACACGCCGAACCCTGTTTATAATATGGATGATTTCGCGGCAAAACAAATCTGCATTTTTATGGATATTCATGGCCAAGTACGAAAACATTTAGCAGTGTCACGCGCTGAAATGATTTTTAAGCAACATAAACAAGCGAAACCTGTCGTGTTAGAGATAGGCGATGCTGTTATGGTGAGAGAACCTGAAAGGAACTCCAAGCTTTCGGTCAAATTTTCTGGTCCATTCCGCATTATCGCCAAAGAAGCGGGCAACAAGTTTAAAATTTGGAAGCCTAATGCACAGACCACAGAAATCGTGCATGCAGATCGTCTTAGAAAGGGCCATGAAGATTTACTACCCACAGATGGTAATGATGTTATAGACACCTCTTTGCAAACAGTACAAAAGCAGAGGGTGCCTAATGAGTATCGTTTGAAACCTCGTTCTGCAAACAAATATTAAAATACATAAAAAAATTTGCAGAATGGCTTGGATCATCAGTGTGCTGCTCCTAATGCTTGTAGCACCGTTGTGTTGACAGACATGTCCACAGCAGTCCTCAAGCCTGGTGCGCTTGTTGCACCCCTTGGACGTGTTCTCATTGTTGAGGACGTGGTGAATATCAAGTATGAGATGCACGGACTGCTCAAGGTGTACTACACCTGTATCTAGTACAGTACATCACCAGGCTCTAGTTTAAGGGTGGGGAATTTCTTCTTCTTATCCATTATATTCTTATTTCATACTTCTTTCTTTGTCTAATTATTTCATGTCATAGTTACTTCATCACCTCAGACCTTTGGTAGCATGGCGAGGGTTAGGGCACCTGGGTACTGTAATTCTGGTATCAAGTCATTGGACAAAAATAAAGGTGGATACTGAGGGAAAATAATACCCCTAATATACTCTAAGAAATGGTTTATTAATACGAAATTAAATTAGGTAAAAGATGTCATTAACATACAGCTACAAGGTTTAACTCCTTGGCCTTACTCATCTGCAATTCCAATTAGATACTCTTGCTTCTTACAACATTACTGGTGGTACATTACACAGACTACACTACATGACAAACTTACATATGGTACCTTCACTAGAACTGTTGGTAGTACATATGGTGGATGCACTCACAACACATAACACCTTATTACTGATACTAACTATTTTATGGGT